TTTGTTTGTTTGTTTGAGGCAGGGTCTCACTATGTAGTTCAGGATGATCTTGAACTCACTATGTAGCCCAGGCTGGCCTCAGACTCACAGTGATCCTCTTGCCTCAGCCTCCCCAGTGCTGGGATTACAGGTGTGTGCCACCATGCCTGGCGATTCTTTGTAATTTTATACAGCTATACATCTTTAAAATATAATCGGGTTTTGCCTCTCAGATCTTTATCTATATGAAATAATACTGTAAATATTCTTTTGCCATGCATCTGAGCCAACACTATACCTGTAAGATGCATGTATATTGCTCTAATTGGTTGGTTGGTTGATTTATAAGCTATATCACAATCAAAACTGGGAGACTGACGTTACTGTGTGTTGACAGCCTGTCGTTTCATCACACGATTCACTGAAGCACAACCACTGCCAAGGCACAGAGCTGTTCCATCACTACAGTGGTTTCCTTATTGCCACTGCATGGTTACACGCACACCCGCCCCTGCCACCCCCCTCTAGCAACCACTACTTTGGTTCTCCAAGTTCTCTACCTCTATAGCTTTGTCACAAATGTCATATATAGGAAATCAAACAGTATGGGGCCCTTTGAGGCGGGCTTTTGGGGAAGGTACTGGAGATTAAACCCAGGGGTGCTCTACAACGGGTCCACATCCCAGCCCCTACCTCTTTTGAGACAGGATTTCTCAAAGGTGCCCACATTGGCCTTGAACTTGGGACCTCCTGCCTTAGCTTCCTGAGCTGCTGGGATTCCAGTGGCACCGTGCCTGGAGACATAGGCTTCTTTCACTCAGCATAAAGCCCTCCTTAACTCGTTACTGTATCAACAGTTTGCTCTTGTTACAGTCACTCTGTAAAAGCAGCAGGGACCTCCACCCACAGTTTGCCTTGGATGTTGAGACTGATGATGCCACAGGGTGAGAGAGGTTTGCTTAGATCTACCATGGAAGCACCTAGAGAGCAGAGCTGGCTTTCCAAGCGTGTCCAGCACTGCCTGAGAACACAGGGACGGGGCTTGATGGGCTTCGCTGTGGTTAGTGGCTCGGCACAGCTTGTGTGCTTTGATCACCAAATGGCACCTCAGGCACTTCTACTGACTTCTACAACTGCACCTTCATTTTTTTTGGGGGGGTGGCAGGAGTTGAACTCAGGACCTCATGCTTGCCAGGTGGGCACTGTGCTGCTCAGCTCTCCCCAGCCCTGCACCTTCATTCTGATCTCTCGCAGGAAACACTCGGCCCAGGGCTCACCCCAGGGCCTTACTTGTACCACCTCTCCTGGGCACCCCAGGGGCACTTCCGCTTTCATGCATCGAAAACGCAGACCACTGCCTGTCTTTGCGAGTTTTCTCTGCCTCTGCCTCCTCTACCCCACTTAACAGCACCGCCAGCCAGCAACTTCTGCTCAGCTGTCACCGTCAACTTTTCACTGATGGTGATTCACTTCTCTTTTTGGTAGTGACTCACTCTGAAATAGGCTGTTGCTCACAACTTAACACCAGCTTCTTTTCACTCGACATTTCCCCGTCTTTTGGACAGGATGAGATATCCCAAAAAGGAATTTCCAGAATTGGAGGCTTTCTAAACAAGCTTTTAATCTATATGATGAGGTCCAAAACTATTCCCGTCCTTTCAACTCTGTCTGTACCCCACATCGTTCTTCATTCACCCCGTACACACACACACGCACACACACGTGTGCACACACGCACACACGCCCTTTGATAAACATGACTGTTTGGGTTTTTGGCTTTTGAGACAGGGCCCCACTCTGTAGCTAGCCCAGGTTGGCCTCGAACTCACAGCAATCCTGCTGCCCTCCTGCGTGCTGGGATTGAGGTGTGCACCACCACACCCAGCAACATGACTGTTTTTTAATTCTCTTTTTCCAGTTCCTTTGTCTTTTCTGTCTGGCATTCATACCTCAGTGCTCTGCAAGGTTTGGCTTACAACTCTTCTTACTGTACTTCTTGGTAAATCTCACTGTTTTAAGGCTTCAATTATTACTTCAGTGTTGGTAATGATTCCCAATCTACGTCTCTAGATGCCGACAGATACCTTTCTTGAGTTTCAGAATCAAATTTCCAACCAACAAATGAACACCTCTACCTGGATAATACCCAAAAATTCAAACCTCTGAAATCTGAAACCTTTCCTTTATATCGTTATTTCATACACACATGCAACTCTGAAATACCGCCTATCTCGGAGTTCAGTTAATTCATAAAAAGGATGACATTTCTGATATGACTATGCAAATCTCGGCAACAGCCCTCCGGCCTCTAGGGCACTCTTCTGTGATACACTATGTAGCCAGTGCATCCATGTGCTGCTGATGTCCGGTCTTCCTTTTAGTAAGCTCACCTTGTAACAGTCATTAGCGATGAGCTGTAAGAGACTGAAGGACTCGCCAGAGGTTTCCATCTTGAGATAAAGTTCCCAGGCTAGTCTTGGTTTCTTATTCATGATATCTACAAAAAGAAACAATGTTTTAAAGTGCCACTAGGGAATAGCTTCTGCACCGCGTCATTCCAGGAATGAATCTATAGCCCAAATATACAAAGCGGAGGTAGAACACCTCTTGTGTGGAAAGCGGGGAGTGCTGGCCTTCAGCTAGCTCCCTACCAGAATCCCACCCTGCCTGAAATTGTTCATTCACTTAATTATGTCCTTTTAGATTAAGTTGATTTCTAGCAGTTTTCCACTTTGCCAATCTGCTTAAAAGAGAACAACTATTATCATCCAACCGTACTCATAATGTCAGCCTCATACAGAATATCTAGTTGTTCAAATTTTCCTGTGGCTATGGGGAACTGAATGAAAAGCCAGGTGTGATAGTGCACACCTGTAATTCCGGCACTCTGGAGGCTGGGAGAGGAGGATCGCCATGAGTTTGAGGCCAGCCTGGGCTATATAGTGAGTAGTGAGCCTGAACTATGTAGTGAGACCCTGGTTCATAAAACAAAAAACAAAAACAAGGGCCGGGAATGTAGCTCAATGGCACAACACCTGCTTGGCAAGTGTGATGCCCTGAGTTTGATTCCTGGTACCAAAATAAGCAAAAACAAAACAAAACAAAACAAAAATAATTTGAAAAATTTAATTCTGAGTGAAAACAAGGAGCAAGAAAACACAAGGATAAGCAGACAGCGCGAGATTTTGGGCTATAATATAAAAAACATTACATTTGTGATGTTTTTGCATGTTTCGGGTATGAAAAATGAAAAAGCAAAATCAATGCAACAGTATCATTTCAAAGACAACAGTGTACACTGCCAGCCTAGAAAGCTGAACAAAACTGAAACAACTTGCCATCTTTCAGGAGGGTACCTGCAAGGTCAGTGGTGAAGGATGAAACTAATCACAGAGTAAATTTACATAACGCATCACATGACAACTGCTATGGCTTGGATCTAGATGTCCCCCCAAGAACCTCATGTGCTCAGAGGTGGCTTATGAGGTGACTGGATCATGGGGTGCTGTACCCCCCAGCTGACTGACTGATCCACTGATCAACCCCTAGCTGAAGGTACAGTCAGGAGGCAGGGCTTGCGCCCCCACTTCCCCATGAAAAAGTGACTAAGACAGAATACTTACCAGTAGCATTAAGTCTTAACCTGAGTTTACTCATTGTATAGGACAAACTACGAAGACTAGAAAATACTTAATGTAATTTCCAAACAGATCATGCAGTAAGAAAGGAAAGAAGAGTCCTGTTGTAAACATTTACAAGAAGACTCACAGCAGCGAGCTAACCAGCTGAGGTAGACGTAGTCATTTTTCAGCTTCTCATTTTGGATCAAGAGGAACACCTGTGACAAGAGACAGGCAAGGGAATAAAGCTGAGGATGGTTTTGTAATAACTGCTGACACGCCGTGCCAGATGATCACTGTAGCCTGATAGTTGACAACAAAACTGAACTGTAGGGTTAAATTGAATTATTTTGAAAAATACAAACCAATCAATCTATAAAGTTTGAAGTCAGCATAAAGGTTACCCAGGGGGCATGGGATTGACCTAAACAGAAGATATGGGGGTCTTACTGTTGTTTCATCATCTGGGTACTGATTAGGTGGGTACACTTACTTTGTGAAAAGTCCCAAGTGGTGTACTTATGATTTATATACAAGGTGTGACCAAAAACTGCAGTGGATGTTGAAGTTTTAAAAAGTTGAGTACAGTAAAAGCATATTGCCATCCATTCCCTTCAAAATGCTCCCACTCACTGCAAACGCACTACGGCCACCAGCTCGCCACTTTCTGGAGCGGTTCTGGAGTCCTCTTTCGGGGAACATCTGGTCTGCCGTGTGGCTGCCTCAGTGTCCAGAATCGAGTCCAAATGTTCACCTCTCATGGTCATTCTGGCCTTGGGGAAGAGCCAGCAGTCACACGGTGCCAGACCCAGGCAGTACGGTGGATGACTTTCTGTTGGACAGCACGCAGTGGCAGCCTTCACCATATTTTTTTTTATCATACCTTGTAAAGACACTCACGAAAGAGGAGTTCCAGAACTGCTTCAGAAAGTGGCGAGGATGATGGGGCAGAAGCGTCCTTGAAGCAACAGGGAGTATTTTGAGGAAGATTAATGGTAATGTGTCTTTCACTACAATAAATTTTTTTAGTTTAAACATTCATCATATATGTTGATCACCCCTTGTATAGTCCATAAAAAGTATCTAAAGGGTAAACATTAATATAGTTATAACATCTACGTGTCTATTCTTATTATACTTTTTAATGTAACCTAAGAACAAAGAAATCTCTAATAGTCCTTTATCCTTGATCATTTGATTTAAGTGAGAAAAAGATAAGGATGCTTTCAGATAGAAACATTCAATGCCGGGTGTGGTGGGTGGCTCACACCTGTAATCCCAGCACTCAGGAGGCTGAGGCAGGAGGATCCTTGCAAGTTCGAGACCACCCTGGGCTACAAAGTGAGCTCAAGGTCAGCCAGAACTACATAGTGAGACTCTGTCTCAAAAAGACAAAACAAAACATTCAAATGCCTTCAAAAGTAGGTACCCTAATAAATGTAATCCTTCAAGTAAAAGATAAATAAAATAAAAGTAGGTGCTCACCTCTTCACCCTCACTGGTATTGCCTGTTGCAGCTTTGGCTTGGGCATAATTAAAATTAAAGATGTCATCATTGTAGAAGTAACTCTGAAAAACACCCCACAGCCAGGTCACACTGGACACATTTTCATTAGCGTATGAAATAGAAAACCATTGTTTTACTGGGTAAACACAAAATAATCTTAAGAGAGCAGCCTAATTCCTTGATGCCACTCACGCCACCACAGAGAAAAGTGTTATCTGTAGACATTTCTTAACTTCTCACACATTATACATGGTATTTCACGCACAAACTCGTAGACAACTCTAAGCTAACCTTAAATGAGTTGAGGTAAATCAAGACGTCATCAAACTGCTTAAGCAGGAAGAAGCAGGAAGCCATACACTGCCTCCCTGGAATTGTATCTGAAATGGAGGCAGAAAAGAAACCAAGAAAAATGGTGAAATTGAAGTTCTCTTATGTGGAAATTTGAGTTGTTTTATAATTCAGTCATAGATATGTATTCCAAGACATCTTTCTAGATTTCAGAGTTACAGGTTCCATTTGCAGCACAACGGAGGTCACTGTACTTGAGTGACTGGTAATCTCTCGGCGGTTTACGCCTGGAGTCCCAGGACACACCCGCCCACGGGCATGCTCACAACAGCATTCCCGGACCTTTCCCCAGGGCTTCCATTCTTTCATCCAACTCCAGCATCTGCACACTCCTTCCTGTGACTTGGTTTCCCTCCTCACTTGTTTAAGACAACCTAGCAGCACTCTCAATGGGAAATAATATTCCACAGAACCAGCTGGTGCTAATCCTGAGCCAACTGTCCTGCTTGAGATCAGCCTCCTGTTTGAGGTAACAGGACTCCCATAACCTCAGCCCCCGACATAGGCCTTCCCTGTCAGGTAACAGTCTGATGTGCTAAGCACTTAGTCACATACCACGTTCCCAGTCTGTCTGTCCTACTAGATGGAACCTCTACAAGGGGAGGGAGTTTTCCTTTATTCACTGCTATATACCTCAATACATTTTTGTTGCACAAACGAATGAAAGAGGGAAAGAAAATACTGTTCAAGCGGGTGTGGAGGTGCAAACCTGTAGTCCCAGCACTTAGCAGGCTGAAGCAGGATGATCACTGCAAGTTCAAGGCCAGCCTGGACTACATAGTGAGTTCAAGGCAAGCCTGAACTATATAGTGAGACCCTGTCTCAAAAAAAAAGGAAAATACTATTTAATAAACGGCATTGGTGAAACATTTATGAGTATCTGGGGGTGGGGCGGGGATAAAAATATTGGACAATCAGCGCAGCACGAACACTGTTACTCAGAAGAGGTGCCAACCACGGGCAACTGGCCCAGGCAGCCGCATCGGTCGCACGGCAAGGGAGCCTTTTACAGCTTCCTTCAATTCTACACCGAGTCTCCACAGATGAAATCAACACTTTAACAACAAACACAATGAAGTCACGAGGCCACGACTGGGAAACACGCGGATATTCTATAACTGGCAGTTTCTAGGCTTGATATCCATGGAAGAAATAATTATGGAAAAGATAAAACTTAAATATGAGTTTTAAATTTTTATGTTGGAAAAAAATACCATGGGCAAAGTTGAAAGGTAAATGAGCCAGTGGGAAAAAAGAAACATCTGCAATGTGGCAAAAACTTCATACATAAGGAGCTGTTAAAAATTCAATAAATACTAATGTTTCATGTCTATAACTGATTCAAATTTTTAAAATTCGCAGGAGCTAAAGAGTAAATTTATTCTCCTTTATTTATTCTCTTGTTCCTTTTTAACAGGGATGTTCACAAGGCCTAGTTCCAATCTTCTGTCTGCTTACTGCTACTTCGTAAGGTGGAGCCAAACATACGTACAACCCTAGATAGGAATCAGGCTTCCCTGGCTGTCCTGCCTCAGTGTGGCCCTCGGACATACCGCATTCACTCGCAGATCCACCCACCAACTGGAAGAACTGCTGGGCAATTTTCATATGATCCCTCTGCAAAAGAAAAGAGCTGACATAGAGGAAGAAGGCAAAAATACCGCGGTTCTACTATGTAAAGATTTAATATGCTTTTTGTTTAAAACCATGCCCCAAACAATACTAATTGTCATTAGCATAAGGTATTAGAAAATGATAATCTGAAATAGAATGAAATGTTATGCAGGATCAGATGGAAAAGAAGAAAACAAAGTCAAATCCACAAATTGTATCCTAAAAGTGCCCAAGTAAAATATTTTTTTCCACATTAAATAAATTAATACATTTACTCATTCATTCAACAAATATTTAATGCTTTTCTTAATATATTAGAATTGGCACAGGAGCTAAGGGTACAGGAAGTATTTATTTTTAATTTTTGTTTTTTTGCCTTTTTGAGATAGGGTCTCCCAATGCAGTTCAGGCTGGCCTTGAGCTCACTTTGTAATGCAGGCTGGCCTCCAACTTGCAAGGATCCTCCTGTCTCAGCCTCCTGAGTGCTGGGATTATAGATGTGCACCACCATGCCCAGCGAAGTATTTATTAAACTCATTTATTTATGCAATAAGTATTTATTCCCTATCTACTGTATAAGGAATTTTGGAATGAACCAGAGATAAAAATATTTATTTCTAGCCTGGACAATTTAGCGACTTAGTGCCTCAAAATAAAAAATAAGGAATGGCTGGAGTTGTAGCGCAAAGTATAGGTTCAACCCATAAAGAACTTAATATGTCATATTAACATGGGTAACAGCTTAATGTTAGACAGTGTTGGTGTTTATAAAAAGCTGTCTTAGAGGAGTTGAAGATATATAGCTCAGTGGTACAGTTACATACATAGCATGCAGAAGGCCTCGGGTTCAATCCCCAGTATCTAAAGAAAAAGAAAAGCTTACCCAGTGGAACAATTTCTCCCATTTTATATATGACAAAATTAAAGCGCACTGATGAGCAAGGTTCTAAACATCATTGGAAATCAGAATAAAGCTGTGCAGTGATCTTTTTGTTTATTAAATATAAGCAATGTATAAAAACAGGGATCTTGCAAAACAAAGCAGTAATATTTAGGGTTGAAGGTTTGAGGAGTTCTTTTTTGTTTGTTTTTAAGCGAATTCTCTTTTGTTTAAGGGACTGGATTGGGGGATTTGGAGAAGTAAAAGGAAGCACAGAAAAGCCTATTTGTACTCTGATACTCATTTTGGTCTTTCCACACGTCTGTAACTTTGTAAGCTACCATATTTCCTCAAAAATAAGACCTAACCGGAAAGTAAGCCCTAGTACAATTTTTTGGGATGCTCGTAATATAAGCGATACCCCCCAAATAAGTCCCAGTTAAGATTATCAGCTAGGGGGGCTGGGGATTTAGCTCAGCGGCACAGCGCCTGCCTGGCAAGTGTGAGGTCGTGAGTTCGATTCCTGGTTCCAGAAAAAAACCAAAAAACAAACAAACAAAAACACTCAGAAAAAGATTACCAGCTAGATAGATGCACTTAGTACATGTATTACAATACACAACAAATGTACTGAATTATAAAATAATATTAACATATAATTAAATATAAATATTATTGACATTAACACTTAAAATAAATGGAAACATAAATTAGAATCAAGTATTTGCAAATATCCCAGTGGGCACTTTTGGACGAGAGGTAAATGCCTGCGATGAACTTGAGACTTCTGCCAAATGACCAATCAGAGCGCAGACACAGCACGGACAATTAAACAAGGCACAAATACCCAACGTGCCACTTGATAACAGGGCGGGCTGTGTCTAGTACGAGTCTTCATGATTCTGTACGTCGTGTGCTGTAATGAAGCACTATCCTCAGGCTACATGGACAGGGGTGCCCGTTTAAGGACAGTTCTGCTGCTGGACATGAGAGATTGGGGCAATGGTTCTACAGAGAATAGAGTCACAAGAAATTCAGACTGGACTTCAGACTTTGGAGAGTTATGATGATGTTCCAGAGGATGACACGACTGCATTCAAATAAATGTAGACTTTTGTACCTGAAGAAGCACAGATTTTTATACGTGACTAAATGAATATACGTAAATTGTACATGAAGCAAAGGCTGCTCCTGAAAATAAACCCTACTGCATCTTTGGAGCAAAAATTGCCAGGGATATAGCTCAGTGGCATAAGTGCCTGCCTGGAGCAAAAATTAATATAAGACCCGGCCTGACTTTCGGGGAAACACGGTGTGGAGTAGCAGTGATTTCATACTCACCGAACCCATTTCCTGGCCAAGGGCTGCGTTGACCACTCCTTTGAGGATGTACTCCTGGAAAACGCAATACCACTGATCCATTAAGGGGAACGGGAGCTATGAGATAACTTCCTGCTTCACCCCTTGTATCAACTCAATGCTTCAGCTCGAGTCACTTTTCTCTGTTCTGTGTGTGGCTTGAATGAATTAGGAGACGTTCATTTCCAGCAGGCAAACAGCCATAGAACAGAACCCACCATATTTGTAAACTCTCAAAAGGTGGCGAAGGTTTTAACACACTTGAGAAATATACTTGCTGAGACACCACAGGGTCTAGAAACACTTTCACCCAGTCTGTTGCTGGACAAAGGGAATGCCTGCCATGTACTTAGGTCCACAGTGTCAGACACACAACACCGGCCCGCCTGTCCCTGACTCCTGTGGGCGAGAGAGACACGTCACTGGTAAGTATACCAGTGAGAGAAATGTACACGCCCGGTCACTTTCACCAGGATTCTAGATTTTAATAGTTCCCAACTTTAGTCTTTTGGAGGAACCAGCTGTGCCTGAGGGAGTTAGCTGCCCTGCATCAGAGCCCCAAGCAGTCACACAGCAAGCTGGCTCGATAGGGATGGCCTTTCCAGGGATCTCACCAGCAGGAGCCCTCTCTAACATGCCTTCCAGACACCTGCTGGACACCTGCTTCCCACTGCACTTGTCTAATAGTCTCAGTTACCTGAGGAGTAGTAGGTTCCAGATCTTTAATTAAGTTATAAGCTTCCTGTACATCATCTGAAACAAGAACAAAGTTTCAGGGGTCTGTATTTCAGCAAGGCCTTCTGAAGCGGTCCCCGAAAAGATCCTTCAAGTAATCACAGAAAATAGGGTCGGGGATGTAGCTCTGTGGTAAAGAGCTTTGTGTAGCACGTGCAAGGCCATGGGTCTGATCCCCAGCACTGCTATGCACACACACACACATACACGCACACGCACATACACCCCACAGAAACACGATCTGTGTTATCTGTCTTCTAGTTCTCCATCAAGGTCAATGTTGCAGAGTTATCCTGAAGACCATGCAATGTCCTTACAAGTTCTACATAAGCTGTGAAGACACCCAAACAAGCTAAAAAAATGGGCTGGATATAGTATGTCAGTGGCATTGTATTTAGACAAGAAAAAAATCATTTTAAAGATACAGACATAACCAAACAATCAAAACAAACAAAAAGACATATGAAGTAATAGGAGTGAAATGGCATAAAGATTTGAATAAAAGCAAAGTGATGCAAATTAAAATATTAGCAGTACCTTGAATTACTGAATGTGTGGTTCATACTTGGGTGTTTGTTAAAGTACAACTTCTGTGTTTTAAATTTTTCATAATAAAATCAATTTGTAAAATATACAGACTGGTTCTTTAATTCTTATCCAAAAGCATGGTTCTTTTTGTTTATCCATGAAATAAGGCTGTTTGCAAGTTCACACTCCCATTTTCACAGATGCATTTTCTGTGCTGAGGAGCATGTTATCTGCTGGTATGTCACATGCACAAAAAGGCCTGCACTGTTAGTCTGGCAGCTACTGCCCCAAACAGCGCACTGCTACAAAAGCTGCTTTCAGGATGTGGCTAATGATTTTACCTTCTTTCAAGGGCAGTAAATATCACATTCTCTTTGAATTATAGCACTTCTGTAAGATGCCTCACATACAAATAAACAGAAAGGCGGACAACGGGAGCAAACAGAAAAAGGTGATTATTAAAAATAAAAGACAAGGGGCTGGGGATTTAGCTCAGCGGCAAAGCGCCTGCCTGGCAAGTGCAAGGTCGTGAGTTCGGTTCCCAGTACTGGAGAAAAACCAAAAAAAAAAAAAAAATAAATAAAAATAAAAAAAAATAAAAATAAAAGACAAGAAAATGATCCAGGCATGTTGTCTATAGTCCCAGCCCTGGGGAGGCTGAGGCAGGAAGATCACCATGAGCTTGAGGCCAGTCTGGGCTACATAGTGAGTTCAAGGCCAGCCTGAACTACATAGACCTGGTCTCAAAACACACACACACACACACACACACACACACACAAAATGTGGGTGTACATTATACATAAGGGGAAGCTAGAAAAAGGAAGAAGAGATACAAACGTAAGAAAACAGTGGAAAAATAAAAAGGGAATGGGCAGAAAGCAAAGGACAGAGGAAAAAAGAGAAGCAAACTAGAGGCAGGCCGCAACATAAGAGGAAGGAAGATAAAGAGAAAAGGTGTGACACATAATCTCCAAGAAGTCTCTTCTGTCCTTTGAACTTGTGGAAAATACATCCCTATAAATGTTATGGATTTTAAAAGTTAAGCAAGTTGCTCAATCAGAGATTAAACATCCCCAAATATGCCATCATAGTAGCACCAAGACAGTTGCTTCTTACCCTGACGTAGGTAGTAAATCACCAAGTTCAGCCTCGCTTCCGGAATGACATCCACCAGGGGAGGTAAAACCTGCAAAGCCCCTTCACCTCCTCGGAAGACAACCTAAGACACAGAAGTTGTGTTATTGCCTCAGTAAGTGTGGATACTTTATTAATGGAAATGTTTCAAGGGTTACCACATATAACTGGGTTCACGATATCCAACTAAAATAGCTCTGGGAATCAGCTGGGCTCCATCTCGAGACTTTCTTTTTATTGTTATGACAGGGTCCCTAGAAGGTGCTCAGGCTGGCCTTGAGCTTGTGATCCTCCTGCCTCAGCCTCACAAGTAGCTGAAAACAAGCCTGGCCCACTCCATCAAGCACACTCCCTCATTTTGCTCTGGATTTCTTCATTCTCCTGTTTGTGACACCCACCAAAATGTAAAGTCCACATGCCAAGGAATTTTGCCTTTGTTGTGTACTAGAAACCTAACTACTGTGGTCATCACCCAGTTATTTTTGATTCAGGGCCACTCTATTTATGTTTGTTTGTTTATTTTTGGTTCCAGGAATAGAACTCAGGATCTTGCGCTTGCCAGGCTGGTGCTATGCTGCTGAGTTATATCCTCGGCCCTCCAGTTATTTTCAAAAGGTTGAATATATTTTTTATACTCTCCATATATACATGACCTTGATTTCACTGAAAGAAAACTTATCTAAATTATAATAAGTATAAGAAACAGAATAAAGCTGGGTGTGGTGGTGCATGCCTGTAATCCTAGCACTTGGGAGGCTGAGGCAAGAGGGCTGCTGTGAGTTCAAGGCCAGCCTGGCCTACATAGCAAGACCCTGTCTCAAAACAACCAAAAGAAGAAAAAGAAAAAAAAAAAGAAACAGAATAAAGGCATAATACTTATTGCAAACATTTCCTTTTCTCTTTATAAGAACTGCAGAACACTTTATTACTGCTATTATCACCACTATTACTATCATTACTATCATACTATCATTATCATTACATTACTATTATTTTGCAAAGTACTGAAACCAGGGCCTTGTGCATGCTAGGCACCGGTTCTACCTCTTGCCATACCCCTAGCCCAGAAAACTCCTAAAGTATCCACCAATGAATAAAACTCTTTTCTATACAGACATCAAAAGCTCCACGAGGACACCGTTCTCATCCCTGCAAAACGAACCAAAAACCCTCCGTGAGGGGACGCACACAGCCTTCTGAGCCTGTGTCCCCACTTCTCTGTGGCACTGGCCTTGTCTGCTTATGAGGCTTAAGTGAGTTACAGTGGGCGCAACGTAGGGCCCACAGCGGGTAGCGTTTGACTTCGTTAGTTAGGTGAGCCTTCATTAGCATCTACCCTATGCCTGCTACTCTAGTGAGCGCTGGGCTTCTCTGCTGCCACACAGCGCAAGTGCAGGCAGACCTGCCAAAAATAAACAAACACGCAGTCAGGTGACAGTACATGCTCGAAAGAAAAACTAAAAATCCAAGAAGGGACAATTGATTTCCCTTTTTTGTTGTTGTTTTTCTGTTTTTTTGAGACAGGGTCCACACTATGTAGTTCAGGGCGGCCTCAGACTCACAGTGGTCCTCCTGCCTCTGCCTCCCAAGTGCTGGGATTAGGGTGTGCACCACTGTGCCTGGCTAGGACAATTGGCTTTGTGTGCTGTTGTATTTCTAGAGCCCAGGATGGTACCTGGCGCATAGTAGATGTTTCACCAACAAATGCACGGAAATCAAGGCCGTCAGGCATGAACTACATAATCCCTTCTTTCTACCTCAAAATATCTATTTGGATCATATTTTTTGGTTTCTCTTTGCCATACCCCCTTCTTTTGCCAAAGTTAATTCCTTCCCTGTCTCCTGGATCCCATGACTTCTACCTCCATCTGGACTTTGTCTCTGCATTGATCACTGTATCTTTCATCCTCTGACGCATTGGTCCTACTTTTCCCCTTTGAATACACACAAGGGTTTGCCTTCTCTTGAAAAATCTTCCACTTGGCCCGTTGTCCCCTCTGGCTAGTGCACTCAGTCTTTCTCTGCTCGCTTTCAATGCTACCTTTCAAACGTATGTGGCTTACTGCTTCTAATTTCTTCCCACCTCCTCACTCTTTAACCTCCCAAGCAACTGGTTTTGGCTGTCAGTCTATGAGTCAGTTTACTATCACAAGCCATAAATCAGTCATTGTAACCAAATTCAAAGGACTCTTCTACCCTCTTGCAGTTCTGAGACTGTTGTCTATAAGATGACAATAATAACAGCACCATTTACTAGATGAATCTCTAATCTGAAAATCCAAAGTGCTCCAAAATCTGAACGTTTTTCAGGGCTGAAAATTCCACCCATGATTTCATGGGACAGGCTGCAGTCCAAAGGCAGGCTCACTAGAAACAGGTAAACTGCTTGCAGGCCACGTGTTTAGACTCAGGTCTTTTCCTAGGATATCTCATTAGACAAATACAAACATTTCAAAACCTGAAATATTTCTGGTCCCAAGCATTTCAGATAAAGGGTACTCAACGTGTACTTGCTAGATACCTTACACAAACTGAATTCTCATAAAAATGACAGTGACCAGGAGCTGTGCACACTCGTAATCCCAGTGCTCTGGGAAACTCAGACAGAAGGATCCCAAGTTCGATCCCAGCCTAGGTAATTTACTGAGACTGTGCCTGCAAAAAAGGATTTTAAAAGGGCTGGAGATATAGTTCAGTATAAAGTTCTGGGTTCAATCTTTTTTTTTTTTTGGTCTTTTTGACACAGAGTCTTGCTATGCAGTTCAGGCTAGCCTTGAGCTCACTTTGTAGCCCAGGCTGGCCCCAAACTCGCAACAATCCTCCTGCCTCAGCCTCCCAAGTGCTGGGATTACAGGTGTGTGTGCCACCACACCCAGCTCCTGGGTTCAATCTTGAGTATAAAAACAAACAAAAAATTAAAAAGAAAGGGACTTTAATTTTCTTTATTCTATAACGTGGGAACACTGATATTCAGCAGTGTTAGTGATATACTTGAAGTTATAAAGCTAGTAAATGAAAGCTTGAATTTGACCGCAACTTTGACCTCAAAAGTTGATTTTGTGTGTGTGGTACTGGGGATTATACCCCGGGCCTTTGCACTGAGCCATATCTCCAGCCTTTAAAAAAAAACATTTTTTTTTTTTTTTTTTAGCTAGGATATTGTTAAAGTGCTAAATTGCCCAGGGTGGGCTCAAACTTGTGATCTTCCTGCCTCAGCCACCCAGAGTGCTGGGATCACAGGCATGGGCCATCACTCCCAGCTCAAAACTGGATATTCTTAACAACTGCTTATATATATCACCTCAATTATACATACACACACACACACACACACACACACACACACACACACGATGAAAAGTTTAAGGATAGCATTACAAAAGCAAGAAGGAAAATGTCCAGACCCTCACTTTTCTCTCTCAGCCCCTTCTCAAGGGTGCTACCCATTTCCTGTCTGATATGCTCCTTCCAGCCATGTAAACGCACACACACGGTGTTTCTTGTTTTTTTTTTTT